TCCAATGTATTTCAATGGGCAATCTACACATTTCATTTGGTATATGCCACTTTTATTGTATTTATCTAATTGTGGTTTTTGTTTGAGTATGTTTTCTATTGTGTTACGTGTGCGGAATGCTACTTTTATCTGTGTGTCTTTAAAAAGTTTTGTAATTTTTCTTACTTCTTTTGTACTATATGTAAATATGGCCCACTTTGTTTTTGGTTGTTGTTCGTCGTCATTTGTGTTTGATTTTTGTTCTCGTTTTGTCTGATTCGAGCTTTTGATTATGTTAGAGTCGTATCCGTTGTTATGTAGTATGTTTTTAATAGTGTTCTTCTCTATTCGTTTTCCTTTTTCTGTTATTGGGTATGTGTGGAGTCTGTTCATTAAGTAATTAATACCTGACAATTTGTGCTCGAATGGATGGCACGAGCTGTTAGGTATTATGATGTCTGTTTGTGTGGGTTTTCTATATATTTCGAATTGCAAGCTATCTTCATTACGATGTATTGTTATATCTAGAAAGTTAATAGATTCTTCTTGTTCTCTTTCAATTGTGAACTTTATAGTTGGTTGCAATTCGTTAATTTCTTTGAGTGTATGTTCTATGTTCGTTATTTTTTCGTCATATATTATTAATATGTCATCGACATATCTAAAGTATGCCACTATTTGTTGTTTTACTAGAATGGGAAATATTTGAGTGTGTTCCATATATTGTATATATGTTTCTGCTATTATTGCCGAATATCGGCAACAGGATGTGATGGATGCTTCCATTGCACGCTCTTCCACTTATTTTCCGGCTGATAGTGGTGAATCTAAGTTTCATCACCTGTGACGATCCATTGCAGAAAGTTGTCACCTTCTTCGCACTAATGAGCCAAGTGGCTGTACCAAATGTCTAAGCACATGCATGTATGCTCCTCTGTCACTTCCTTAGGTATCCACATGGCAGACTTTATGCAAATTAAGATTATCATGCACCACAGTATAGGCAGACCCAGTGCTAATATTCAGGTGTTTTGCAATTTTTTTGACCACCATGCATGTTTTGAAGAATCAGTTCCCTAGGTCTTTTTTTTCATTCTGGGCAGCTGTAGCTGTGATTGGATGACCTGAGCGCTCTGCATCAGTCATACTCATACGGCCATATTTAAACATTTCAGTTCACACATACACAACTCTGAGAGACAGCACTGTCCCCATGCCACACTGAGCACACATGCATTGAATTTGTCTACCCAGTACACCTTCTGCCTGCAAAAAACATATCACAGATCATGGTTCCTCCTTGGCGCAATTCTCAAGTTTCAATGCCATGTTCACCGCATCATAGCAACTCTCACACTAACTACAAGGTCAACAGGCTTGCTGACTAGTCACATTACACCCTACAATACCCCTTGAACCCCACCCCTCCCACTCTTTCCATTTTCTTCAAAAATCTAAAAGTGCAGAAACTTTTTGAAGATCCTTCTTGTGTGTGTGTGTGTGTGTGTGTGTGTAGAATAAAATAGAAGGAGATTCTAAATACTGAACTTTAACCAGGCCAGTAATTAAATGTAACAACAACAATAATAATTATAATAATAAAAGCATGTAATAGTAGAATTGGGGTACGTGGTAGGGTAGTTGGTTGAGACACTATGCTACAAGCCAGAAGGTTGAAGGTTTGAGTCCTGATGAGGTAGATTTTTTTAAATTTACCTAACCCTTCCATCTGCACCATGGTCCTGGGGTAAACTCAGCCTCTAATAGAAATGAGTACCAGGAATCTCTGTGGGGGGAAAAAGGACGCCGGCTCATAAGGCTGACAACCTTACTGCCATCTGTGAGCTGATTCTCTACAAGATGCAGGAACCTCAACCTCTCACAACCATATGGGCCTTCACAGCCTGTTACAGGGATAACTTTATTGTAATAGTAGAATTAAGGCAGATTAGCTGTTAAGTTAGATATGCTACTGTCTTCAATGTTGACCATCGCTATATAAGGTTAAAATATTTGTAACAGGTAATAAATTATAAAAATACTTGAAACAGTTGCATGTATTATTATGCATTTTGCTGCTGGTGAATAGTATAAGCTGTTTCATTTCTGACTGTCTCATCACTGTAATTTGATGTACGATGGGGTACCCAAAAGAAACCGAACTAATTTTTTTGTGGGCAGAGCTTTTGTAGTACCGCGTTTTGCCGCTATGAGCGCATAGAGCTAACATTCCTGAGTCGATAAGCCGACTACCGTTGCTTCAGAAGGTAAGGACTAGTTTCGGCAGAGTTTATAGTGACAACTGTTTTGTGTGATCGTCGTTTTTGCAATGGCTGATTTTCGTGAACAGCGTGCGGCGGTGAAATTCTGCTTTTTGCTCGGGAAAAGTGGAACAGAAACTCTTGAAATGTTAAAAACGGCGTACAAGGACGATGCTAAGGGGAAAACTCAAGTGTTTGAGTGGTTTTCCCGTTTCAAAAATGGTGAAATGTCAATTGATGACAAACCTCGTTCTGGTCGTCCTTCCACGGCCCGAACACATGAAAATGTTGAAAAAATTCGTGAAATCATCAAGGAAGATCGACGACGGACCATTGAAGAAATTGTGGAGCTGTCGGGAGTGACTTGGAGCTCAGCGGCCAGATTTGTGGCAGTCGGGTGACTGGTTTTTCCATCATGACAATGCCCCTGCTCACACAGCCCTGTCTGTACGACAATTCTTGACCAAAAATGGTATGACCCCTGTTCCTCACTCTCCATACTCACCCGACCTTGCCCCATGCGAATTTTTTTTTGTTTCCTCGAATGAAAAGAGACATGAAAGGAAAAAACGACGGAGGCGCTGTCAAGCATCTCAAAAGATGAATTTAGACAATGTTTTGAAAAATGGAATAAAAGACTAGACAAGTGTATTAGTGTAAGTGGAGAGTACTTTGAAGGGGATTGAAGGTTTGTGCTTAAAATATGAATAAACAAGTTTAAAAAAAATAAGTTCGGTTTCTTTTGGGTACCCCCTCGTATATCATAGGTAATGACACCTAAATTTTGTGGTAACAAGCTGTTGGTTTACATGTTCATTCTTGCTGCAGTGAATCCAAACAATGTGGATGGTATGAGTATTTGAAAGTCACTTTCTAATACTCAAATGAGCCACATCCCTTGAAACAGACCAGGTGACAGACTGACGCATACATGGGAGGATAATGTTAAAATGGATCTTCAAGAAACAGTGCAAAAGTGTGAACCAAATCCATCTGGCTTAGAACAGGGGCCAATACTGGGATCTCATGAATACAGTTATAAACCTCTGAGCTCTACCAAAGGCAGGGAACATTCTGATAAAGATGGATGATTAGCTTTCCAAGAACAATTTTGCTGAATGGAGTTAATCACCTGTCACTAGGAGGCTCATGCTGATCACTGCTACAAAATCTGTTTTCGCCTGGCTGCTCTTCCTGCAAAACAAACATGTCACATAACAGAACAAAATTACGTCATCTCTAATTTATTACCATAGAGTAGCTTCAATTTCTGGTATTGTAAGAGTTGACTAGAATTTTGAAAAATTAACTCCTAGATGCAATTAAGATTGAAATTCTATTTTATATTAAAGCACCACTGAACTGCATGCTGATACAAAAATTCTCATTTCTTATATTTTTCATTCTTTAATACTTCCATGCCTAGATTTAAATATCCTGCTATGATGGCAGGATTTGGTCTTTAAAAGAGGATTTATAATGCACACAAAAGGAACAGACCTGCTGAACCAGTGACTGCACCAACAGTTCTGCAAGGCACAGATAATAAGGGTTAAGGCTAGCAGTCACATCCTTGCATACAAATTAAATTGCTGTAGTGTGGTACCCCTAGCCTAAAATATTTGATGCTGCATAATATACAGGATGTTTCACGACTTTAGGGCATAACTGCAAGAGGTGATTTCCTAGGTCTTTGTGATCAAAAAAGTTCATATAAACATGTGTCCGATTTTGGACAGTTATGACCGTTTTTTCATTCCCATACACGCCCTCATATGAACCGCGTCTGTCAGCTGCCAGGTTGCTATTTTTAGCCAGCTACAGACAGAGCGATCTCGTTATCTCGACATTTGAGAGCTACCTAAGGTGGGGGGGGGTTGGTATGTCTGGCGCAGTTCACAACCGAGCGGCAGCCTGTGTTGCGGCCCGCTGTGACATTTTCGAAAATCAGCTTTAAGCACCAATCAATTCAAATTAAGGGTAATATCATGAAGTTATCTTTACATTCATACTTTAAATATATCATGTATTATGCTGGTTTATTATTTTGTTCCGTTTATTGTCAGTAATTGTTACCTTCTATTCTGAGCTTAAAACAGTCATAACTCCATAACCGTCCAAAATCATACACATGTTTATATGAACTTTTTTGATCACAAAGACCTAGGAAATCACCTCCTGCAGTTATGCCCTAAAGTCGTGAAACACCCTGTATGTGCATCTAGCTCCTAAGGTTTACAAATTACTGTCAGCAACAGATACTCTCTAATATATACATTGACCATCTCTAGATATGATCAGAAGTTATGACACCTGCACAAATATCAATATTAAACACAAAGCAAGCCGAATGTTGGAAGTGTGTTTCAAACATGAAGGTTTATGAAAAGCTTTTAGGGTCTGCAATGAAAATGATTGAAAAACTATCCAGAACTGTTAGATTCCTTGCACATCCCTCTATGTCCTATATTTCAGTCTCGTGATAGCTGTAAGATATTTTCTCTAAAATGTGACTACGCAGTAAAGTTGAGATGGACAAGAATCCAGTCAATGTGTAAAAACATCATAATTCAGGAGAATTATGTGAGAGATGTTAATTCAACCAGAAATTAAATAGTAGGCTTCTATGAGCATTTATGAATGTCTGGGTTCTAAAGGTTGTTTCACTCGGGGCGGAACCCAGCATTTTGTTAATAACTGGGATACTAATAAAGATATTGCAACGAAATTTGGAGTGGACTTACCTCAGTTCATGTGAAATCTGGTGATATCATAACAAGTGCTGGAAATGGCAACCATTTGCGTTCAGACAGCAATGGACTCAGTGCGCCATGTTTTGGAAAGTCCTTGCCCGTACGTCAGGTGTCATTTCTTGGGTGGCCTCACTTATGTTGGCTTTTAAAGCCTCTATCGTTCGCGGTTTGTTAGCGTAAACTTGCGCTTTCAAATGTCCCCACAAAAAATAATCAGGCAGCGTTAGATCGGGCGAGCGCGGTGGCCAAAGTCCCCTCAAAATGACGCGGTCGCCGAAAAAAGACTGGATTTTGGCCATGCTTGCGCACGAGGTGTGTGCTGTTGCTCCATCCTGCTGGAAATAACCAATGGATAATTCCCCATCGTTCAGTTGATTCACAAAGCAGTGGAAGATAAAGGGTGTTTCACTCAGGGCAGAACCCAGCATTTCGTTATCTTCCACTGCTTTGTGAATCAATTGGATGATGAGGAATTATCCATCGGTTATTTCCAGCAGGATGGAGCAACAGCACACACCTCGCGCACAAGCATGGCCGAAATCCAGTCTTTTTCTGGCGACCGCGTCATTTCAAGGGGACTTTGGCCACCGCGCTCGCCCAATCTAACGCCGCCTAATTATTTTTTGTGGGGACATTTGAAAGCACGGGTTTATGCCAACAAACCGCGAACCATAGAGGCTCTAAAAGCAAACATAAGTGAGGCCATCCAAGAAGTGACACCTGACGTACGGGCAAGGACTTTCCAAAACATGGCGCGCCGAGTCCAATGCTGTTTGGACGCAAATGGTTGCCATTTCCAGCATTTGTTATGATGTCACCAGACTTCACATGAACTGAGGTAAGTCCACTCCAAATTTCATTGCAAATATCTTTATTAGTATCCGAGTTATTAACAAAATGCCGGGTTCCGCCCCGAGTGAAACACCCTTTATAATAACAGGTAAGTTACTGATGAAATGCTAAAGGAAGACTCTACCCAGGGGAACCCCCACTTACTTTTCCTTGCTTTCAGATTTTCCTCAAACATTCAATTTCAATGATCCCAAGTCGATAATATTAATGTCAAATTTCCTTCATTCAAAACTGTCCCCAGTTTAGTGTTGAAATTCACTGCTACCCAGTGAAACTTTAAATTGGGGGTTCACTGCAATTAGCCTTTTGCGCGGTCATTTAAATTCCGCTGCCGTGTCTCTCCGGCAGTAATATATTCAGCCGACCATTTAAATTTTGCTCGAAAATGATTTATTCATCATTGTTCTTAAATTATATGAGATAGGAACATGAAACTTTCACTAAAATGATCTTAAAAGGTAGTTTTATAACCTTACCTTATAATATGAGCGCCCGGTATCTCGGCAATGGAAGCAGTTGGTTTAGAATTTGAGTAGTGTATCGTACGCCTTGAAGCATGAAACTTTCACTAAAATGATCTTAAAAGATGGTTTTATATCCTTGACTTATAATATGAGTGCCCGGTATCTCGGCAATGGAAGCAGGTGGTTTAGATTTTGAGCAGAGTATGGTACGCATTGAAGCATTCTTCTATACACAACGCTGTCTCACATTCACCACACCAATACTGCGTATCTCTCATTTGGCTCTTTTTTCCGTAAACCAAACATCTTCTGTGCGGCCTTGCCTTCTTCCCCGTGGGGGGAATACAAGAGGAAATGTCTCTCCGTATAGCTTGCCAGATTAGCTGCAGTAAATTCAACCTTTATGTTATCATAAGAAGGTGTTGGTGCTTCTGCGTTTCAGATTCAATTCATTTTGGCTGCCCCAGATGTCGTAGGGGTGACCACAGAATTCATGAAGTTATTCTAAGAACTGGCTGGTATGTAGTGAACGAAAGCAGAGCTTAGCTGGCTCAAAAAAATATTTATGGTCATCCCTCCGAACGACCACCAAGGTCAGTACGATAAAATGGAGTCAACTGGAGTGATAATACATGAAGGAATGAGTTCTTTTCCCTCCCCCACACACACCCGTATCGTCACAGGGGGTGACCACAGTGTTCTGCCTTAATTTGTGGCGTTTTTCTAAGAACTGGCTGCTATGTACTGTGCGAAATCAATCGATCTTGCAAGAATAAATGATTTGGACATCCCTCTTCTAAGAATTCCAATTGAGTGTGTTAGTGTGGCCAGCTCAGGGCAATATGATATTATAAACACAGCACATATCACGTCTCTGCTGTTTATAACTTCGTAGCAAAGAAAACACGACATTCATAACGGTGAAACCGCTAGCAAGAGCCACAGGAACTTTGCTGCAAGACAGGCATATGTAACGATGACTTAACGCAGCTAAAGAAATGTCTCATTATATACTGTTTTTCTGACAACAGGCCAGTGAAAAATCTAACAATCTACAGCAAAACCATCAATTATTACGGGCGTTATAACATAGGTGAGCAGCTGGACAAAACATAGACGTCGAACCCCCGCAGACCATTTAAATACCTTGACGAAACATACACGTCAAGCCACGCTGAACGGTTAGTTAGAAAGATGGTCATGTCACATATCAGGCAGGTAGTCACCAGTATCTCACCATGACATCCCAGGAACATCCCCAAGTTAGTTCCTGAGGGATATGTGGCTGGGAAAAATGACAGTGGGGCAGCATTTCTCCAAATACACTCAACTCTCGAATATCCGGGGGCGGATAAACCAGTTTGCGGCTTAACTGGGGCTTTTTTGAGGCTTATACGTTGTTTAATATTCATTCACTTTCGTTTCACATGGTGAGTTGTAACACTATTTTCGCACTAGTGTAAACCGACCTCTGCATTTTTTGGTCCCGTTATGCTAACGCAATGTTCTAGGGTAGGGGTGAAAGAATGCAAGGATTTGTGGAAAGTTTCAAGGACAGATACACCGCCCCAGTTAGTCTCTTTGTATCGATCTTCAGGTGCGTCAGCAAAATGTAAGGGTGTAAAAGGAAGCATGTTGCGTTAAGTATTCAACAGAAACTTGAAATTACCAATCAGTTGGGAAAAAGAGGTGTAGTTAAACAGTTAGCAATGCAATACAATACTGGAGAACAAACTGTTCATAATTGGAAAAAACAAAAGAATCAATTAACTTCCTTTGTTTCGTCTTCTAATTCAAGTGGAATGAAGAAGAGAAAAACCATGAAAAAATCAAAGTATGATGATCTCGACAAAGCAATGCTGATCTGGTTTAATCAACTAAGGGCACAGGGAACAACAATAACAGGAGCAGTTTGTGCTAAACAAGCACATATGCCATATGCCATATATGAGATTTCAACAGCGTGGGATACAGTAAGGCCATCTGTATTGAAAAATTCATGGAAGAAACTGATGCCTTTCATCTCTAATGAAGATGACGAAATCCATGGATTTACTGGATTCAGTGAAAATGAGATAGCCATAGAATTGACAAAATTTGGTAACCAAGTTCATGGCGGTGAAGA